ATTCCTAACTATAATGTTTCCCGTATGGGCCTTGTGAGAGGTGTCCCAGCTGATTGGTCGATGCAGGAATTTGTCGAAACCTTGGAAATTCCCGAAGGTACAGGTATAGTCCTCAAGGCCAGACGCCTAAACCGCAAGACGAACTCCGATGGTCAAATTAATTGGATCCCAACACAAACCGTTGTTCTAACTTTTCAAGGTCAAACCCTTCCTGAGAGAATATTCTCTTGTCATAGTTCCCTCCGCGTTGAAACGTACCAACTCCCTACAATTCAGTGCCTTAACTGTTGTAGGTTTGGTCACGTAAAGTCACAATGCCGATCGAAGCCTAGGTGTTTTCGTTGTAGTCTAGCCCATTCTGGTGATGAGTGTAATATCCCTGAAACAGAGTCATTATGTTTATTTTGTACTGCCTCACACTTTGCGACCAACAAAGCTTGCCCTGAACATAATCGACAAAGAAATATAAAGAGTTGTATGTCTCAAGAGAGCATTTCTTATCTCGAAGCATCGGCTCGGTTTAGACCTATCAATGGCAAAACTTTTGCAGATTCTGTAAAAACAACCCCCTCCTCTTTATCCCAGCCCATTACTTTACCTTCCCAAGTTTCCCGTCAGACTACATCTTACAGGAAAACTGTATTTCTCCCTCCTCGCTCTAGACCAACATCAGGAAAATCCTTTGATAAGGCGGCCCATGAGGCCATTACTTCCAATTTACCCTCCTCTTTACCCAATGGTTGTGCCGTAAGCTCCCCTTCCCTTATCAACAATGAAGTCTCCCCAAATGAAAATCTTCTTGACTGCTTATGGGCAGTCATTTGTAATATGCTATCCAAATATGATGACATCCCCATACCGTCCCACGTTGCCCAAAAAATTAATTTGCTCCACTCATTCGTCACCAAAAATGGCGAATCTGGTAATTCAATGGAACTGTAACAGTATTCGCAGTAAAAAAATCAGAATTAACCTTTCTTATCAATAAATTCGCTCCATCTATTCTAGCCATTTCGGAGACTTGGTTATTGCCGGGTTCCCGCTTTAGGGTTTCTGGGTACCGGTGTCTCCGAGATGACAGGGATGATGGCTATGCTGGCTGTGCCTTTTTGGTCAGCCGATCCCTCACCTTCCACGCATTATCTCTTCCTCATTGTGATGGTATCAATGCTGTTGCTATGAGAGCTTTTAATATCTCGTTTATTTCTGTTTATATTCCCCACCCCCATTTCGACCTCATTTCTGATATACGTTCTATTATCCTTTCGGTTCCTCCTCCTGTTGTCATGTTGGGTGATTTCAATGCCCACCATGTTTCTTGGGGTTGTCATTCCTCAGATTCTTTTGGGTCCCTTCTACTAGATTTACTCGATGATATAAACATAAGTGTCTTGAATAATGGTTGTCCTACGAGAAGGAGTCTTCCATCTCAGAATCCCGCTAACGCAGTGGATTTATCACTTTGTTCTCCTGATCTTTTCCCTTTTCTATCCTGGCGTGTTTTTAAGAGCACTTGTGGGAGTGACCACTTCCCCATTTTAATTGATCTCCCAACCAATTTAAGGAGCGTTACTCGCCCTTCCTCTCTTTTAAAATTTAAACTGAATCAGGCCAATTGGTCATACTTTTCATCTTCTATTGACTCTAAGATAGCTGCGCTCCCCGCAGTCTCTGCTGAAAACTGCCTATCTTCATACAATGATTTTGTCAACTCCCTCACCTCATCTGCCAGTTTACATATTCCACTCAAATCTTCTACACAAAGGAAAATTTCTCCTCCTTGGTGGGATTCCGAATGTACTGAGATGATTCGAAAAAGAAAAACGGCAGAAAGGTCATACAGTCTTTGCATGACCTTGGAAAATTTTTTAGTCTACCAACAAGCTCCTGCAGCTGCTCGCAGACTTCTAAATAATAAGAAACGTCTTGGTTGGCATAAGTTCTGTGAGAGCATGTGCCCTGGTACCCCTTCGTCTGTTGTTTGGAGGCAGATCAGAAGATTCCGTTGTTCCCTCAATTCTTATGATGTCCCATTTAATGATCCGTCTAGCTGGATTACCTCCTTTGCCGACAAATTGGCTCCTCCATCAGTCCCTTTTTATGATTGTCTTCCTTATAAGTATAATTCTTACATCCCCTCTTCAAACAGTCTAGATTGTCAATTCTCCTTGGAAGAACTTAACAAAGCATTAAATGGTCTCTCTGACTCTTCCCCTGGAGAAGATGGAATCCCTTACTCATTCCTCATAAATTCTGCATTAGGCACTAAGAGGTACTTTCTAGATTTAGTAAACTGTTTTTTCGATCTTGGAATTATTCCTGAATCGTGGAACAGACAAATCGTCATTCCGCTTCTAAAACCTGGCAAAGATCCATCAGATTTCTCTTCATACAGACCTATTGCTTTGTCTTCTACCCTTTTAAAAATCATGGAACATTTGATTAAAATTCGTTTAGAATGGTTTTGTGAAAATAACAATATCTTTGCAAAATCCCAGTTTGGTTTCAGGAAAGGCTTAAGTACGATGGATAGCCTAGGTATAATAACGACCGACATTCGCATTGCTTTTAAAAAGAAACAGTTCCTGGTGGGTGTTTTCTTGGATATCGCATCTGCGTATGACCACGTGCTGGTTCCGGTGCTCAGGCAAAAAATGCTTCAGCTGAGTATTCCTGAGAAGTTGGTACGTTTTGTTTGCAATGCAGTTTCGAATCGTTATATTATTATAAGATCTCAAAATACGGAGCTGTCTCCTAGATCTATTTGGAGGGGCTTACCTCAAGGTTCTGTTTTGAGTCCTCTTCTGTACAACATTTACACCTATGACCTGGAGCTTGTTGTGAATTCCTTCTGTCAGATTCTTCAATACGCGGACGATGTAGCCTTATACTTTTCATCAAATTCTATTGAAGAGGCATCATCACGCCTAAATTTAGCTTTGAATTATTTGGGTGATTGGTTAAATGATCATGGTCTCTCTATTTCTGTGCCCAAATGTTCGGCGGTCACGTTTACTACAAAATACAAGGTTCCACGGTGTAACATTTCATATAAAGGGTCCTTGGTATCGTGTTGTAAGCAAGTAAAATTTTTAGGCCTTATTTTAGACTCAAAGTTAAACGGTGTTCCTCATTTTAACCATGTGATTAAAAAAAGTGAGAAGGGTGTTAATGTTCTCCGTTCATTATCTGGTGTGAGGTGGGGAGCACACCCCTACTCGCAAGAGCTTTTATACAATGCTGTGGTACGAAGTCATTTTGATTATGGCACCTTCCTTTTAGATCCTGGCAACAAGCAAGCCCTTGATAAAATTTCCAAAATTCAATCGAAATCTTTACGCATCATCCTTGGTGCTATGAAATCCTCTCCCATCAATGCTCTCCAAATAGAATGTGTTGACCCCCCCCCTGTATTTACGTAGACAATTTTTAAGTGACCGCTTCTTCATCAAAGTCCTTCAATACTCTTCTCATTCCATCTTGTCCAAATTACGTCGCTTATCTAATCTCACGATGCCATCTAGTACAGGTAATGTTCCATGCCTGTTACACAGTTTTAATAAACTTTCTCGTCTTCCTAATCCTGTTGAAAGTTTCCCTAGGAATCCCTTGTTTTTAAATAGTTATGAATCCCTCATTTTTGATCCTAAAATAATTTTAAACTTTGGAATTGAAAAAAAATCCACCCAAGCTTCCACTTGTTTTCTGGAAAAAATTTCAAAAGACTGGCAGGGTTGGTTATCGATGTATACTGATGCTTCCAAGATTCCCAATAATGAGTGCATCGGTGCGGCTGTATGGGTCCCTTCATTCAAAACAGTATTGAGCTTTAAACTTCCTCCATTGACCTCCGTTTTTTCAGGTGAAGCTTTTGCAATCCTAGAAGCGGTTTTGTATGCTGAGTCCCACAACCTAAATAAAGTTACAATTTTTTCCGATTCTCGCAGCTGTTTACAGGCAATTCTTTCCAATCCATTCAGGTCTAAAAAAAACATAATACGATTCTAAAAATAAGAGAAGCTTTGTTTAGGTGTAGTAAAAAAGATATTCATATTGTACTTTTGTGGATACCTAGTCATTGTGGTATAGCGGGTAATGAAACTGCTGACTCTTGTGCAAAAGGTGCTATTTTCTGCGGATCTTGTCAGCATCCCAACATCTCGGCCCACGACCTATCAGCTCTTGCGTACTCCCACCTTTTAAAATCCTGGACTATTGATTGGCAATCTTCTAAAGAAAAAACTGGCAGGCACTATGCTAATATTCAGTATTCAATCCCTTCTTCGCCGTGGTTTTTTAAATATAAGTTTTTAAACAAAAAGGTCACGTCTATAATCTGCCGTCTTCGTATAGGGCACGCTTGTACTCCCGTTCATCTAGCCAAAATTAAAATAAAAGACAGTTCTCTCTGTGAGTGTGGTATGGACGAGGGCTCGACAGACCATATATTTTTTAACTGTTCTTTAAATAATGACTCGTTATTTGACCATCTTTCTCCAGATTTCCCTCGTCCATGTAACCTTAACTCCCTACTTTCCCTCCCATCCAGCTCGATCGTCAAAATATTAGGGAAATTTATTTCTGTTAATAAATTAAAGTTATAAATAAGATTCTCCCCTTCATACCTTGTAGTAAAATGTTAACCTCTTGTATATATTATTAGATTTCTGTGTGTGTTGTATTTATTGTGATGTCATTTTTGTTTTGGGTAACTCTGCTTAGATAAAATTCAATGTATCAAAATTATCAAATCTATCCTCACTGTGTGAAGACTTAGAACGTGACATTGGCGGAATTGTGATTTACACAGATGTCGCCATTATAAATATAGTGAAGTGAAGACTGTAGAGTTTTAAGTTTTAACTGTTTTATTTCTTAAGTTGTAACGTTATCGGTTATAACAAAAATTTAATGTAAATTGTAAAGTATTTTGTTATTGTGAAGTTTTTAAGTATGTCAAACTCGGTTTTAATTTGACTAATCCTATTATTTATACTATGATGGACAATTCAATATTTCCGTCGAAAAAAACATCAACGCGGAATATACAGTATCGTAAAAGTAATTGGAAAATACACGAATTTGAAATATGGAGTGGAGAGAGAATATGTAAAGTGTGTTCACTCTGTATGAAAGGTTCATTGCTAATATGGATAGGTGAGCAGCAATTGCGGCTGGCAAACGTAGCCCTAGGTGTGCCAGGTAGTGGCGAAGTTGGAGAAGGTTCTGCTGCCACTGCATTGCTTGGGGAGGATGAAGCTGGTGCTGCAAGCTTAGCGCGCCGGTTGGCTACTCGGCTTCACAGACCAGTCTATATCTGCATGGGACAAACCTTTGACCGCTTTACAAGTCCACTTGTTGAAAAGGGCATTGCTATGGAAATAAAACTACATCCTAATTATTTTATATAATCTTTCATGATAATGGATTGTTGGCTTTTGTAAATTACTACGTAAATGAAGAATTCAATTTCAATTATGCAGTATTTTAGATGATTACAATGTATAATTATTAGTTAGAATAACTTTAAATTTGTATCTCTAACAAAGTTGTTTGTAACCTTTTTTAATGAAAATAAAATTACTTTACTGTGATTTACTGCTTTAACTGATTATGGGATTAAAACATTAATATTTACTATATACCTTTCTTTTATTCACTTTTACACAATATTTTACTCTAAAATAGTTTTGTTTTGCCTTAACTTTTAGCTTAAATTTTACAAAGTACACAGACATTAATATTTGCAAAATTTCTTTAAAATCTTAATACATTGACACATAAGTACAATACAGTTACAGAGGGCTGCACATTTATCAAATTTTTGTAATTGACTGACATTATATTCCATGTCTATTAGTTTTTTCATGAGAATAGGTTTAATAAGATCAAATAATTCCCTATCATAGGAGCAGATAGCTGCAGAGTACAATAACTGGCTTACATCAACATCCTTTCGGTAAAAATATTTAATAAGTACCAGCAATCCATACAAGTTAAAGCTCATTCCTTTAATGTCAATATATAGGTCCTTGTCAAGTCCATGCTTCGAGATGCACTTGTATTGATCTTGAGAAACTTTCTTATTAATAGAATTAAGAAATGTAACTATTTCTTCATATTCAATAGAAACACAATCCAAGTTGTTGGATGCAATGTAAAAACCATATTCAGTAATAAGTTTTAAGTTGTAGCTATCACCATAACAAATAAAAACTTGAGAGTATGCCTCAAAAGTAGTTTTAGTATAAATTGAGAAGTTAACCTTTGAGAACAGATTCTCTTTTAAATGTACTACAGGTAAATTGTTTAACTCCTTGTTAACAATAAGTTTAGTTTCATTTTTAGCATAAGCACTATGATTAATCATGTCTAAAAATGGACATAAAGAAATCTTTGTATTGTCATTAATTATACTTAATATTGTATGTTGCATATGTGTCAAGTTCAAAAGGTTAGTCAAATCCATAAAGACACACCTTGTATTAACAGTAAAGTATGCCCATTCAAAATCAGATTTATTGAAGGTGTTTTTAAACATACATGCACTTTTATATTCATTTTTTATAATTGCTACATTTAATAAATCATGAAGAAGATTATAAGCAGAATTAATAATATGTTGTTGTTTTTCGATTACACACAATATATTAGGGTCTAGAAACTTCTTTGTTTCATTTGTTAAAAAATATGGCACAGTATAAACCTTTGGTAAACTTTGCATATATAAATACCATTTTGAACTATTTCCTTGCACTTTTAAAAACAGCAAATAGAATGCTAATAGACATTGGAATGAAATAGCTTGTTTGTATCTCAGCTGCGATAGGATATTGCTATCTAAAAATATTGCACAAAATTCTTCATCCATAAGCAGAGTCGTTACATTAATAGTTAAATTTAGTGGTAGGCTAAGGAGTTCATCTCCTGCTCTGATCCTTTTTTTTGTTAGTACACCACGATTGCAATCAGAAAAAATTGTAAGGACTAACTTTTTGCTTCTTTGAATTCCACTTTTGGATAGCCAAGAGTTTAACATATTCAAATCAGAACTATAATTACAAGTCTCAAAACAATTAGTTCTTTTGAGTTTTCTTCGGCGACGCGTTCTTCCCATCTTTTATAACGGATATATAGTATATTGTAGTTTTTAAAGTCCGGTAGGTACTTTTATTTTTTATGTTCTATCCGATTTCCACTTATTGCCTGCTTTAGTGCTTGTATCATTAAAATAAACATGACGTTTTTAGTATATTATTGTTTATACGATGCACATTGCAGTCATTGAATTGTACAAAACTTCTTCCAGTACTTTTGTATGTTAGTTACCTCTATTAAATCTGAGATACTAATTACTTAATTTAAAAATAAATTTGGTATAAATTGCATATTATTAATTATTACATAGAGTCATCACTCATCACTCATCAGTGATCACTGATCAGACACGACGCGGATGACGGAATACTCAATACTGAATACAGACTACATACGTCTAACACATTACACAACATACATATTATGATACTACTAGTATAGTATCTAATATGTCACTCGGACACCGGAGTACTTCGTTGAATGTTATATTATTATATAGTCAGTAGATGGTCAGCACTTAATGATGTTGTGGTGAAGATGTTCATCTTCAATGTAACACTATCCAATTAGTGTTATGTTGGTAATAAAATGGTAAAAATTAAGGTTTAAATAAATGAATGTTTCATCTGTGTACTTCTAATAAGTGATCTGTGCCTCTACTCCCTATAGTCTTTAGGCAGCCAAACATGGCTGCCGTGTTTCTGTCAAATAGACGATTTGATAAAATATTTCGATATAATAATAAAATTAAAAATGTATTTTATCATAAATCAGTAATATTAAATAAGCCACATTTTACTCTTGTATGTAAAAAATGTGTTGCTGCAAGTAGTTTCAGGGTACGATACACAGCTAGTTTAAACTTTTAGATCTATACTTTGCTACTAAATGATTAATAGTTTTATGTTTTCTAGCTTTATTCATCATCTCCTTCCAGTAATTCTAATGGTCAAGACACCGCTAAGAATGTACTTGCAGCAGTGTTGGCTAATAAGCCTAAAACGGGAAAAATTCCAGTTGGTAAGCCTCATGTAAAAAGTAATTTGTGTTACATAAATTGTACTAAGATGGATATATCATACATATTTTCAATGAAAAATCTTTCATAATTATATTTTAATTTGGAAATATCTTTGTGTTTAACATATTGTAATAAAAAATAATAACATTTGAGACTTCATAGTAACTGGTTCTTTCCTATTCTGCATAGTAGTCGTAACTTGGCTTGCCAAATTTTTTATTAAAGAAAATAATTTTTATATATACATATATGTATTTGGAAAATCAAGCAAAATTAGATATGGTATAATAGAATATGGTTGGCAACTCTAGTTGTAGCCGTCATGCTCATACTGTTTATTTTCTAATCATACTTTACTAATGTTAGTTCCTTACTATAATTTCGCCTGGTTGAACAGTCTTCCTATCCTGCATTTGTCCTTTTATGTTTTCCCATCTCCTTCTCTACATCAATCATCCATTCCTATTTGAGTCCTGATGTTGTCTCCCGCTCCTAGGTATCCAAAAGAGAGACTGCTTTCATCCAGGTGCATCTGTTTTGGCCCGTGAAGATATCAACCTTGGAGATGCCAAGCCGGTTTCGGGGATGGATATGGTGCGGGGGATGATGGAGTATGTGTGGCCTAAGGTATAGTATAATATGGTTAAATTTTTTGGATACTTTGACTTTAAAAAACATTATTACAAAGAAATCAATCACAATAAGTATTAAGTATAAAGTTTAATTAAGACTTTTCCTATGAAATTGGAGATTTGTATAGAAATTAATTTTTTTTCAATTTCAGCTTATTAAGTGTTGGCCAAATTTACCTATACAATTTTGCCTTTTGATGGCAGTTTGTTTACCCCTTAGCTGTAGAAGTTTGTGCTGGATAGTATGTTTGTGATGGAGTTTTTATCCTTTGGTTTTATAGATTGATCCTTAGGAAGTAATGTATTATGACCAGATATATAAGACTTCATTGATGGAATTTGCAGCATTAACAGATATTTTATAGTCAAAAACATTAATTTGTTGACTGACATCAAAAGTTATAGTCATAGTGGACATATGTCCATCAATGTAATAATACCAACACTGTTTATATTTAGGTTAATTTTACTGCTTTAGGTCAAAGTATACATTTTTCTTATTTACTTGTTGAAAAATAACAATTATGTGATGTGCCAAAGTCCTGTTCTTCATATTTTTTGTTTTTAAAGTTAAGACTTCCTTTAGTCAAGGGTAAATAAACCCCACTTTTCCGAGAACTTGATCCACTTATAGGTTGTTGATTAGTTGTTTTCTTTCAAGACTGTCACTCTCTTGACTTTGTATTATTTTTTTATTATTAATTTCTTGTGACTTATATCATCATTTTTGTGTTTTATGTAAGTCTTCTTTTCTTTAAAATGTCTTCTTTTCTTCAACATGTCTTTTTTTTCGTCAAAATGTATTTTTCCCTATCCTGACACTAGCCAAGTAAGTACTTAGCGTATATGCGCCCTCAGCACGGTTTATGGGACTTCTCGATACACTGAGGCCAGTGACCGATCCGCTTTGGGTTCACCAACCTGTGGGTCACTCGAGCGTTAGTCGGTACGGGAACTGAAGAACCGCGTAGTTCAAATTTTTACTCGAAGGACCTATCTCCTGTATATGTATGTGATGTGAGAGACTCGAAGAACCAATGTGCAGCTTGCCAGCCAGTGGACTGTGAAATGTGTACTTAAATTTATAATCAAATGTCAGTAGTATCTGTATAGTATATGTAGTGTAAGTATTAGCAAGCTGCACTAGATAACAAATATATGAGAGGGTGAGATGTGACAACCTAACAACCCTCCGGATCCCTAAGCCCTACAGATGTACCCTAACACATAAATAGTGAGTTTATAAATAAGTACGGGATGTCTGCACCGGGACACCTAAGGTAACAGACGGAGCCCTGCGGGTAGGATCAAAGGCTCAAGATGGTGGGGTTATCTCAGTCTTTCTGTTGTGAGCACGCCAGAAGTTGGTTGGTCAATTGCAGTTGAAATGAAATCTGAACAGTGATGATTTAGAATACACTCGTTTCTAAGCCGCGACGCGTAACTCTAGCTGTTGGTCGCTAAGTTCGTGTGGCACCCACTTATCTAACTTTTTTATCTTTCCGATTTGAAGTAAGTGCTTGAATATTATTTTCACAGTAATTCCAAGGCCCGCAGCTCAGCCGTAGATTGTTAGCCGACTCAAAATCTAACACAATTTCACAAAACCAAAAATCTATCTAAAATTTAATTAACACGTCCGCTTTCGAATAAAATTTATTTGAATTTCAAATTGCGCGCTAATCTGTTAATGCCGGTTATAGAATCTCCAATGACATAGGTAAATATCTATAATAATATAACTAATATTTTATATCTTATGATAATAGCAACGGAATATAATTTTAAAGAGGCGACGAGGTAGTTTAATTTTAAAGTAGCTCACGGTCAGCAAACACATTCAGGACGACGCCGCAATAAGAAACCGAGTGGTGCTGTCGCTGTCGCTGTTGTTCGGCGCGAAGCTGACGAACGTGGCCGTGCCGTTCCTGTTCAAGTACGCCGTGGACGAGGTGAACGCGGCGGCGGGCGAAGCGGCGCTACTGGGGCTGGACAGCGCGCCGCAGGCCGTGGGCACGGCCACCTTCAGTCTACTGCTGGGCTACGGGCTGGCTCGCGCCACGGCCGCCGGCTTTAACGAGCTGCGCAACGCGGTGTTCGCGCGCGTGGCGCAGCACTCCATCCGGCGCCTGGCCTGCAACGTGTTCGCGCACCTGCACAACCTGGACCTGGCCTTCCACCTGGGCCGACAGACGGGCGCGCTCTCCAAGACCATCGACCGCGGCTCGCGCGCGATCAACTTCGTGCTGTCCGCCATGGTCTTCAACGTGGTGCCGACGGCGTTCGAGCTGGCGCTCGTGTGCTCCATCCTGGGGCTGAAGGGCGGATTGGCCTTCGCCGGCGTGGCGGGCGGCTGCGTGGCCGTGTACGCCGCCTTCACGCTGGCCGTGACGCAGTGGCGCACCCGCTTCCGCGTGCTCATGAACCGGGCCGAGAACGAGGCCGGCAACAAGGCCGTGGACTCGCTCATCAACTACGAGACGGTGAAGTACTTCGGCAACGAAAGGCACGAGCTCGACAAGTACGACACGAGTCTGCGCAAGTACGAGCACGCGTCGCTCAAGACCGCCTCCAGCCTGGCGCTGCTCAACTTCGGCCAGCATGCCATCTTCAGCGCCGGCCTGTCCGTCATCATGCTGTGCGCCGCCAATGAGATCGTCCGAGGTGAGCTGCCCCGCACGGTACCGCTCGGCTCGACCGAGGCCGGAACCGCGTCTCCGCAACCGAGTCGTTCTCTGTTCGCAGGCAACATGACCGTGGGCGACCTGGTGATGGTGAACGGGCTGGTGTTCCAGCTGTCCATCCCGCTCGGCTTCCTCGGGTCCGTGTACCGCGAGGTGCGCCAGGCGCTCGTGGACATGCAGACCATGTTCACGCTGATGGCGGTGCGGCCGCGCGTGGCCGAGGTGGACCGGGCGCCGCAACTGGCGCTGGCGCCGGAAGCGCCCGCCATCGAGTTCCGCAACGTCAGCTTCAAGTACGAGCTGGGCAAGCCCGTGCTCACCGACCTCTCGCTGACGGTGCCGCGCGGCAAGAAGCTGGGCGTCGTCGGCGGCTCCGGCAGCGGCAAGTCGACGCTCGTGCGGCTGCTGTTCCGCTTCGTGGAGCCGCAGGGCGGCAGCGTGCTCGTGGGCGGGCGGGACGTGCGCGACGTTTCCCTGCGGTCGCTGCGCCGCGCGGTCGCCGTGGTGCCGCAGGACTGCGTGCTGTTCCACGACACCATCTACCACAACCTGCACTACGGCGACCTGGAGGCGCCGCGCGAGGCCGTCGAGCGCGCCGCCCGCCTGGCCGAGCTGCACGACGCCGTGCTGGGCTGGCCCAAGGGCTACGAGACGCAGGTCGGCGAGCGCGGCCTGAAGCTGTCCGGCGGCGAGAAGCAGCGCGTGGCCATCGCCCGCGCCATCCTCAAGGACGCGCCCATCATCGTGTTCGACGAGGCCACGTCCAGCCTGGACTCGCTGACGGAGCACGCGATCCTGGCCGCGCTGCGGGCGGCGACGGCCGGACGCACCTCCGTGTGCATCGCGCACAGACTAAGCACGGTGGCCGACGCCGACGAGATCGTGGTGTTGGAGCGCGGCTGCATCGCGGCCAGGGGCACGCACAGCGAGCTGCTGGCGCAGGAGGGCTCGCTTTACGCGCGCCTCTGGCAGCGCCAGAGGCAGGACGCGCCGCGGCCCTAGTGACAGCCGCAGCCGCAGCCGCAGCCGCCCCGACCACAGTAGTCGATTAAGTCTTTGTACAGTGTCTCGTTAAGTATATTGTTGTGTTACTGTCGCGTGTTTTATTTGTGTTCCGTCCAATCATTCCCTCCGACATAAAGTCCAAAGCGAACAGCGGCTTAGTTAAATGTTTAGCGCTGCCCGTGGACATTGCGGCTCGGGAGGTTTGCGAGCGCGTTGCCGGCCTTTATGATAGCGAAGGTGATTCCATAGAGTGGTGGAGCGCGAAAAGAAGTGTCTCAAAAAGAGCTCTGTCGTGGAAGGCGTAGAATTCGAATTATATGGCCGAAATTTTTTTATTTTAAAGACAATTCACACCAATTGACCTAGTCCCATGCTAAGCTGGTAAAGCTTGTGTTATGGGTACTAGGCAACGGATATACATACATATTATAGATAGATAGACATATAAATACATATTTAAACACCCAAGACCTAAGCACACCACCAAATGCTCATCACATCGATGTTCGTCTCAGCCGGGGATCGAACCTGGGACCCATGGATTCGCAGTCAGGGGTACTAACCACTAGACCAATGAGTCGTCTAAATAAGATACAATTCGCTGTCGGCATATGGTAGCTAGGAGAGACCGTATGCGGAGTATTTTTTAATATAGTTTTTTATTAAGTTGGGACGAATTGGGGCGCTTCGCAGTCCACGGTATTCTTAGCATTCGCATCCATGAAATTTGAAACTTAGCCATATGTTATGCCGAAAAGTTCTTCAGAACACTCCGCAATTGCGTGTCGTATTCAGGATACGGCAAAACAATAAATTAACGAAGTTGGCTCCTAAAATTGGTTATTTACACAATCAACAACGACAACAGATTAATTGCATAGTTATAGCCACACCCAACCCAACCAAGGAATAAGAGATTAGCGTTTGAAGGTAGGAAAACATTCCTATCTAGTAGAATCACTTATATATTATAAGCGGAGCGCATCATGGGATTAATTACTGCGCGGTTAATGTAGAGTGTAAATAATATCCTCTATTATTGAAGGCGTCCCTGGCTGACCCGGTAACCGTTCGTACATAATAAACCTCGCTTTCGGACGGTGAAAGCAAAGAGTTTGATTTCTATCATTGTTACGTTACTAGGTGTCGGTAACGATAGAAACGAACACACAACATTTGTAGAAATGTGACGGGTTATCCTTTAAAATATCATAATAAAATCAAGAATGCATTATTATTAAGGCAAAGCATGTCCGTTTCCAGTTTATTGCCAGAAGATAAACGAAAGGATCAAAGGTAAGCCTCTGTTTCGATGAACGCTCGTAGGGAGAACATTTAGCACTTAACACTCTGAATTCCGGTATCGGTATCTGACGAATATAACATGTACAATACAATAATGATGACGGGTTAGCGATGTAGTTTTACTAACTTGTCTCGTCTTAGAATTTCTTTGGAGAGCGTGTACAGCAGCAATTCGCGGCTGAACTTGCTGCAAAAGCGAAAACGAATGAATCCGGCTCAGCCGCAGCATCGACCGCACGGCGAACAGCGCGTGCTGTCCGCAAAGATGCACCGACTCAAGGCGCTGCAGAACCAGCTCGCCGACGCGCATTTTCACTTGCAGGTCGTTACCTACACTTACCGTTGCACCGTTCGCCTCTCGCTCGTCGGCCGATTTATTGACGATCCTAATTCTTTTATCAGGAGCTGAGCAATGAAAATAAAATCCTGCGAACTTTGCAAAAGAAGCAAGAAGTCGCCCTGCAGAGGTACGTAAAGGGCGACCTTAAAAAAACCCCGCTAATTTGGACTTTTTAAATTGACCAAAGTTTCGCCCACGCAGGTACGACAGTTCGAGCGCGGAGCTTCCGCAAGTACTGAGCGCGCACAGCGAGGAGATGCGCGTGCAGCACGCCAAGTACCAGCAGGCTCGGCGTCGCCTTCGCGACCTCGAGGGCCAGCTGCGAGACCGCGACCTGCGTTTGCAGACTCTGCAGGACCAGCACAACCACCTGCTCAACCTCACGCGCGATAAGTACGCTTCTGCCCTCGTCCTTGGCTTCATCCGTTTCGTTTTCGTCGCACTCATCGGAGCGGCCTCTCTGGCAGGAATCTACCGGAGCGTGAGAAGCTGCAAGCGCAGGTGAGCGAGCTACGAGAGACGGCGCGGCAGCAGCAGGAGACGATCGCCGGGCTGCAGCGGCGATTGGCGCTCGAGGCTAAGAACTTCCGACATCGGTTGCAGGCCGAAATCGATAAGCACCGTGACACACGAAACGACCTCGACCTGGCTATCAACAACGCCGACAAGCTCTCGACCATTATCGAGGTGAGACGGCCTCCGCCATCGAAAGCCGTTTGATAGAGCGGGGCCGTACTATGTACAATGTACGCCCGGTACCTTTGTGTTTCGTTTCAGATGAAAGAGAAGATGATAAGCACGGCCGCCGGTCGCTGCGGAGGTAGAAGCTCGCCTCCGAAAATCGCTTCCGTGGCACAGCTCGCCAGACCTCTCAGTAAAAATTGGAAACATGGCGAAGACCGTTCCGTAAGCCATCTATATATTTAATTCTTTCTTTCCGTCTACATCTGTGTCATGTACCTAACACGAGTAGTACACCGGCGTAGACAGAAGTCGAATGAAAAGCGTAAAAAGAAGGCGCTTATTTCCACTTCGTGTCAATTATAGGGTGAACGTTATGTTCCGTCGAGACAGGGCGGAGATTTCCGTGCGCCGAGCGGCTTGTCCGACGAGGACCCGGTGAGTCGTCCCCGAGTTCTTTCCGCCGCGAACGTCGATCTCGCCAAGGCCGTGCAGGAGGGCATGGCGAGCGTGGGCATCCGCGAACAACGCGTCGCCGGCACGGAGAACTCGCAAAGTAAAATGGAAGTGATGAAGACGGATTTAATGAATAGAATAAGACATAACGAGGAGCCCGCGTCGCGAAAAACGAGCGCACTCCGACGACAGTCCACGGAGGAGAGCGTCGACGAATACGTAGTCGAGGAGGCGGACCGGCTCGAGGTCCGGGTGCGGAGAAGCTCGGGCGTATCCTTCTACGAGGCCGGTCGCGGCGAATCAGAGACGGACACGGAGCGCGGGACTGGAGACGGGACGCAGACGGGCAGACGCGTGGAACGATACTGCAAAGACATCTTCGAGGATATCGAGAAAAGCTCGCGTGTGATAGACGTACACGTGCGGCAGCTGTCGGCGGCGGCGGGAGCGGGCGAGCGGCTGGCCTCGCAGCTGCGAGCCGTCGACCGCGTCAACGAGCTGGTGAACGCTCGCGGGGACCTTCCCGCCGGAGCGATCTCGCAGCTTCAGAACGAGTTCGAGGCCCTGTCGCAACACGCGCTGCCTTCGCGTCTCCGTCCCGCCGCCGATCTCCTCGGGGACCGGGCGCTCTCCAACCGGGATCTTCTGGACGACTTACTCGGGAAGAAGTGAAGTCGCGCGTCCGATTTCGCTCTATAGAGATAAACTATACTTTGTAAAGATTTTATTATATTATTATAAAAGTAATTTATTTTTTGACACTTGTTAAAAATCGACGGTTACAAGAATTTACCAAAATGTGTAATGATGAAGCCAAAAATTTATTGAAAAATAATGTCGTGTTAATCGTATTATATTAGTATAATTGGAAAAATACACTTATGTGGTGTGCCATTGTGTATGCGTGAAGATTTTGTATTGTTTGTGTACTTTATTTAATTGTAATGACATTTTATTCTGAATGTGTGAATAAACGTCAGTTATTTGTATTGATTGAAATAGTCTTGCAGTGGCGTAACTATACCATCTGGGGCCCGTGGCAAATCTTCTTTCGTGGCAATTCTTTTGATGGGGCCCTATCAGTAAAAATCGTCACGTTGTACTCAGTTTAATTTTAATAAACTTTGAGAGTTTCAGCGTACTCAATTACACGTTGTATATGTCCCACTAATGGCCATAGGCCTCCTCACTTAGGCGAGAGGGAATGGTCTGTAGTCCCCGCGCTCGCCCAATGCGTATTGGAGACTTCACATTCATCCATAGAACATAATATATCTTGGGCCCTACCCGCTTGGGTCGGGGGCCCGTGTCATTTTGCCAGTCCTGCCACCCTATTGTTACGGCACTGGTCTTCCCACCAAAACCATTTTTAAATAATACGTCACAACATAATCTGAGTTCATATACCCAAGCTTCCAGAAACGCCGCGCCAACTTTACAATCTACGCTTTAATCATAATATAATATATTATATGTGTAATATATTTTAATGTAGTAGGAGGTAAACGGGCAAAAGGCTCACCTGATATTTAGTGATGCGTTGATCCGATTGCGCGACGCAACGCAGTAGTGGGGCCTCGCCCTAAGTCGAATTTCGTCGACTAAAAAAAAATAGTCGTTCAGAAATACTTCAGTGGGTAGCTGATTCCACATAGTGGTGGGGCGCGACAAAAACTGCCTTAAGAAACGCTCAGGGGGCCTACCGTGAGCTTTCTTAAAACAATCCTAGTGAGATGCTGATGAATTTAGGATCCTATAAGCTGAAACGTATGGGCATCGCAAGACCGAACGAAAGAACGATAATTTTGTTTGAGGTTTCCATGTAAGTTTTGAGATTTAACTGTCAAACTTGCTTCGACAGATATTTCTATAAAAATAATTTAAAAAAAATATATGAATTTTAAATAATTCATCAATCACAATAAGCTAATTTGTCTTAATATATATATTTATTTAATAAAAAACTATTCTATCGATATATTTTAAACGTTTTCGTCAAATTATGATGGGATATTTCAATATATTGGTGTTTACAAAGTTTCAGTTTTATAAATATAGTTTTACAAATTGTTTAACTTGATGGGGATAACATAAATATGATGGGGTAAGTATTGTTCACAAATTTAAAAAATAAATAAATACCTATATCGAAAGGAATTCCTGATAAAAAACCTTTGGAAAAGATATTACAAATCAACTTATAACTCGAAAATCATAAGTAACTATACTGACAGACTCTAAACTGCATCAAATTTCAGGATTACTTTGAAATGATTTTTTTAATAAGTATGCAAACTTTTTAGAAAATTATATAAATATGGAGAGACTGGCTCTTAATCTTAAAAAAAAGCAATATTTAAAAATAGAACTGCAGTAAAACAAATGAATATAGCCGGGAAAAGAAAATTTACTCGTATAGGTCGGTTATCGAAAGCTGGCGGGTTCACAGTACTTACACTAATGCAATTTCACATACATTATGTTTCAAAATATGATTTTTTGCCATGCTATACATTTTAGTCCACTCATACACGACGGACAGTCTATTCATGATGTATTTATGATTGTATTTCAGTTTGACATTACGTCTCGCGCTTATTCACAGACACTACACAAGCACAAAGTGTAAATGTGTTGAAGCCGCCAGCTTTAGTTAACATACCTATATCAGATTTGCGTGTTTTTAAAATTGATTCTTATTGTTTTTGAAGTTATACTTCTTTAGGCGCGTTACGAAAAATTGATGAGAGTGAAATTTTACGATGCGCGCGCACCTGAGACACAAAGTTGTCAGTGTGATTATAGCGTGCGCGAGCGAGATGGGAATAAGAAAATCTACAAGTAAAAAGAAATAGATTATGCGTATGAAGTTAGCAGCTATGCCAAGAATTTTGAATGACCATAATGACATTTACCTTTTAAACAAATAAAGGAGTTATAATTATTTTTTCGAAGAAATTTAGCAATGCTTTTTGAATTATAATCAGAAGTGATTTAAATTGAATATTTAAATCAATACTAATTAATATTAGAAAATATTTGTGAAAAAACTGTGCTCATCAACCTTCCTAAGTGCTTCAATATAATTGAGGTTAACTATCCGTATGTATTATTATTATCGAGTATTATTGTTGAGTAAAACTGAAACATGCACGGTTATTCATTGCTTTTGTTTATTGCGTTTGTTACAGCAACTTTTTAGAAATATTCTACGACCCTATATATCAATAATTGAGAGCAAAGACTTAAGCACGAATACTCATAAGGAGAAAATGAAGGCTTGGAGCGATATGACAGAGAAGTAAACATTTTAATAAGTACCTGCATCTCAAAAAAATTACCACATTGTAACAAAAAAAATTACAAAACATCTAATTTTTCAGTTTTAATCTAGCAAATATAAGGACAAGAGACAAAAAACAATTGATAAATCAGTGGAAGTGCAAATTCAAATTCAAAAATCATTTAATCATTTAGGTTACACATTGTACACTTATGACTTGTCAGTAAAGAAATACATATTAATGCTTCTAATTTTACATTTAGTGCCAGTTCTACTAACTAAATTGCACTAAATTGAATACGAAAAAAAGAGTTGTCATCTTATCGCCGTGAAACATCTAAAACTGGAGGTGGAACAAAGCCACCATCACCTTACCTTCTCCAGACACAATGGGCATGGCAGAGATGCACAACCAAGTAATGATTAATTTAAAATTACAAATTGAAATTCTGATGAAGACATTGGAGTCACTTAAAAATAAATACCTAGTATAATGAAATAAAAATGTTTTAAAGATATGAAAATAGTGTTTAATTTGTTTAAATAACTTAATTGTTAATACAACCTAAATTAAGAACTATCAAACTTATAAGTTTTCATCAATAAAAATGGCTCTCACTGCTGCTCCACGCAGTGTATTTTGAGATGAGGGCACTGTTGGTAGTGAGGGCAGGGTCTCTTCATCATCATCAGAGATAGGTTCCTCTTTTGAATCAATGGCTATATTGTGCAATACCTACTGCCAAAACTACAACATACATCTTAGTGTTTGGTAGAGATGTTCTAAATATATAATAATATATACTTTTAACTTAATAGAATTTATGTTACACTTAATGTAAGAGAATAATAATAAATATTTATTTATTTAATTTTCAAATGTAAACTGAACTTTTTTTACTATAATGACTCCTTTTCCAGACTTTGATTATTTAATTGTAATTAAATTTTTGCATGCAATCAAAAACTATTTTTAATAATGCCAAAGAAGTATAACTTCTTACGCGCGTACATAAGTACACGCACCCTTTTTTTATTCTTTTGACAATTGAATTATTGTTACCAGCAGAATTGTTGGGTTAGCTATTTAACTCATCGAGAGTTTCTGAAGCATAATATGGATACTTCGTCCGAACAAGCTGCTCAAATTGTAGCATTGGTGCGGGTGGGCTTGGATCAACGAAACGATTGGCAGAAATTTAAATTTAAACCAGTCCACGGTTTCTAGAATATACAGAAGGTTTGTCGAGAAAGGTTCTTACAAAAGGAGACGTGGTACAGGCAGAACTCCAGCAACCACCGGTCGTGATGAGAAATCCTGTGTCTACGACAGTGGCACAACTAAGAGCAGCCCTGCGATTCTGTAACTCACTTTTCGAACTCACACAGCGGTTTTCGCATCGGCGGTCGCTCTCAAATCAGTCGTAAAGCAGTCATTTTATGATTTGGCATTCTGAAAAGGTGGAAGCTTGTAGTTTATTGTTTATTAGAATGCCAAATCATAAAATGACTGCTTCACGACTGATTTGAGAGCGACCGCCGATGCGAAAACCGCTGTGTGAGTTCGAAAAGTGAGTTACAGAATCGCAGGGCAGCACTTTCAGAAGAATGGGACAACATTCCGCAAGATGTTTTAATAACCCTAATCAAATCTATGCGGAACCGATTAGAATCCATAATAAGGGCATGTGGAGGTAATACACCTTATTAAAACATAAAAAAACCCTTGCATAAAGCTTGTGTCTATTGTTAAAACCAACTTTTTGATTAAACCAATTTTCTTTAAATTTCTGTTTTTCTTCAAATAAGTTTTAAGGTCCTTTCCAGTACACAAACTTAAACTTAAGGATATGACCCTACGCTGTTTTAAAGTTTACGAACCAATCTAGACGTTTCAATTTAAATCTGCGTAGAAAGTTTGCATAAGTACTTAGTTAAAATATTTATTTCAAAGTCGTTTTTTACTTTGATGCAGTTTATGAGTCCGTCAGGGTATAATATAAAAATAAATTCCTTTAAATTTTACAAATTTAGTTTACGTTAACTAATTCATATAATATAAATAATTATATTTTCTTTATAGCTTAAACCTGACAAACTCGCTACATTGAGAGACATGTTGGCAAAGAAGAACCCCAATGAAGTATACGAAATGAATATATCGACGTAGGAAAGCATATTTGCTGTAAGTAGACATATTGCAATTGTTCACCAGAGCCAAAAAACTTAATTAATTTCGGAAAAAAAATTAATAGTGTCGAACCTATCCATGATATTGCTACCATTTTTGAAACATATATTTATTTAACTGCCAGTCACCATTTGCAATGTAAACTTTTTATCCAAAGTTACTATAAGTACGTGTTTGGCTAGTTACAGCATACAGTTTTTTAAATCACAAACCTTTAAAACGCTGTAACTAAGGAAGAAAAATGTACGCGCGGAAATATTATCAATTTACAGCCGGTAAATATGCTGTATGCAGTAAATTTATGTATTTGGGTACTTTCAATTGCAATTCAAGATGTAAGATTAGTTTATAATTATGATTAGATCTAGAAATGCAGTGGGTCATTTGGTAATGTAATGTTTGGTTGTAATAACATGTCGTAAATGGTAAAAAAAAACTAAAACTGTAGGTTCCCTAAGCTTGCTGTAAGTAAGTAAGTAATCTTACTAAAAAAAATATAAGTTCTGATTCTAATGGCAGTAAAAAGTCACTTTAGGTATTTTGTCTACTTACAGCAAATATGCTTTCCTACGTCGATATGTTTCTATCCAATTGAACATTGCTTGATGGCGTCATCCTAACTAAATAAATACTTAAATTAGAATTTCTTCAAGTGGCTTATTATCTACATATTATAATTTTGAAAAATGCCTATGTCTATTAAAACAACAAAAGTAGAGGAGAATAATACAATTCAAGAACATAACAAGGAAAAGTTTAATTATAATAAATACTAGTTAAAATGAAAAACCATTCGGCGGCAATTTTTTGCAGTTTTAGGTGTGTAATTAATTATGCTATATTTTAATACACGGAATAATCGTTGCTGGCTTTAAATAAAATATGATATATTGGGGAATTATGTTTTTGTTCTACATGCCTAATTAATTAATTGAATATTATTTATTTTTATTATTTTCGAGAGAGGGTGGGAGGGTTCTTTTTTTCTTGCTCCTCTGGGCAGTGCACAGTGGTTAGGTAGTGCCCTTAGATCCAGGACAAAATGTTTGTGCTGACAGTGGAATCAGTTACACACCGGGAACTGCGCCGGAGATGACTTAAATACTAATATTGTATCGGTCCTACTCTCGCTTTTGTTTAATATTGTGTCTGAGCTTTCATTTGTGTTGTGTTTCACTAGCCGTACTTTACAAATTTTTATAAGATTAATCTGTACCTACTGCCAATTTTAATTAAAATAAAAACACGAATCATTCCTATGGAAAAGCCGTAACTCTCGTGGTGATTACACATTTTCACGATGGATGTCACAAGCTGTAGGTATCAAAATAAGAAATATTTACCTAATAATTCGAAATGATTAGAAAACGGCCGCGAGATATCGCTTTAAAAATCTTTTCTACGCCCTGATGCCTAGGCGAGGTTGCCAATCTTTCAATTAGATTCCGTAGCGATGATTTGTGTGTTTCAATTGTCTTTGTATTTAATTTTTACTACACACCTGAAAAAAAACTTGAGGCAAATGTTTTTTTACAAATAGGTACTTTGCTCTTAATTTCTGGCATGCGAAATGAAGTGGACTTTATAAAATAAAACGGCAAAAACATTTACAGAAAGATAATAATATTACAAACCACTGTCACGCAAACAATAAAAAAAAGTCATGGTCAGTATTTGATAAGTACTGTGCGTGTTTGTGGTGAGTCAACATAATTTCGGCAGATTGTTTGAGATGAGATTGCAGCATCACAGTATCGGACGTTTTCATACTATTTAAGCCCCAACTATAACGCGTTCTCTTCTAAGGATATAAGGTATGACATTGACTGGTTTATACAAACTAGATAAATCGTAATAGCTTATCTGAAGCTTTAAGTATACCGACCATCCGACTATTAAGTCCATCATCGATGTTTTTTTTCTGGTGAAACCTAAATACGAAATTGATAGCCCGTAAACTTTTTAATTAGGTAAAACCGGCCCTCGGAATATGAATCAGGCGGTCACGGCGCGGCGCGGCGTCCACGGCAGTCGGCAGTCGTGACTCGGCACTCGGCAGTGTTTTAGTTATCGCGAGAGCGTTGCGCAGGGTGGCCGACTCAGAGGTACGCGTCATATTCCATCGCTCTCCACACTTTACGATTTAATCTTCCCGGTATAAAGAAATAACCATCCATACATTTACCGTTTTTAAATATAATAAAACTTAACTATTTTTGTATCTAAAATAAAGTGTATATATGTATAGTTAGTCGATGAATATTTCTTAAATAAAATTTAGATAGATTACATACTCAACCTGAAAATTTTACCACATTATAATTTTTACGAATTCAGCTTTAAAATTTTCTTAAAATTCCTATCCCTGCCTTCTAGTAATGCTAGAACTAAAAATTAGCTAAACAATAAATTAGCTGCGCAAAAAATTCAGGTACAATTCGTTGATACACAAAAACATTATTTGAAGTGATAAAATCAATCACCTCGTTACAACGTTTATATTCAAAAATAAAATAATTTGTGTTATTAACAATTATTTGGTATATAATAATTTTTACTCGTCTGCTCTTACGTTAACAATAATTTTAAAAGACTTTTGTATGCCTCAATAATATACACATTTTATATTAAACTGTTTAATTACATGACAGTGGAATTTTGTACAGTGGAATACTGTTCTGTTGTATGTGTACCTCTAACGATATTAAATCTCGGAACATAATATTTTTAACAAATTAACTTAAAATAACGTTTAAGCCGACATTTTAGATTTTAAAATGATTAAATATTTGTTGCATATTGAGTTACTAAGAAACAAACTCATGCTCTTGCAAACGATCATAAAAATTTGCTGTTTGAATAGTTTGAAAAGAGTTGTAAGCGGGTATGGTATGAATGAGATTAGCCATTGAAACCTCGTCCGTCCTATACTTTCACATCGCAGCATTGATGCTTTTTGTTCCAAGAGCTTTTATCTATACATACATTTTAACGTGTAATTTCGTTTTCTCAAGATCACTCGATTATATCATTACTACTTTCTTCATATTGTGGACTCAATGAACGAAGTGAACAAAAAATAATCTAGTGAAGCAATCGAGCTTATGTGATGGAGCAGGGACAACGTTTGAACTCTTCTGATGTTTGGGCGACGGGAGGGATGCGAGAAGTGACACAGGTTTCGGGTGTCGCAGGTGGAGTGATGGGGATCGACGGAATGGAGGCGGGGTTAGAGCTGGACGTGTTCCATCGGCCGGACGTGCTCGTCATCATACTGTACGTAGTGGTCCTCGTCGCTTCACTCGGCGCCAACACGCTGCTAATTTTTATCGTCATCAAGTTTCAATACATGCGGAGGTCAGTCACTCGATAATTATTTAGATGTCTTTATTTAATTTAGATCAGAAAACATATATGCACCTATACGTATTTAAACAGACTTTTCACTAGAAGGAATAGGGGCAGACTCAACTACAGGCTGACGTAACTAAGCTTGCGCTTAATAAACTATATTAAGCTTTTCCACGGACGCAGGCACCAACTGTTGCTCTCGAATTAGCTCTTGGAACACGCAGGTAATGTTCGTTAGATCTTCCGAACAATCAACAATCAATATTACGGTCTATCGTGGTATTATTAAATGTTTGAGGGTATTATGAACACGAAGTGAAATAACGAAATGGGTGGTCGCAGTCAGCCTGTACCTAAATCTTCGATTACAACAATCATTGAAATCAAATAAAACATGGTGTCAGTAAGGCTAAGATGGTACACGTGGTCAGCTTTTAATGTTTTTCATATATTTTAATAGATGAGTTTTACGATGCATTTTACTGAGCTAATGGAATTGCCCAATAAAACAGACGCCGCTATTTGTAGCGAAAATCTTTTTTTGAATAACATCTTTTACTTCTTTGTTTATTTTTCAAGGCAGTGAAATTAATTCGCACCATTACTTATTAAACCAATTACACTGAACGATGGCTAATGATTACTTTAACTTTTCAAGCGGCTTTGAACAACCTATTATATAATTTTTTTAAATTCTCACGCTTATTTTAATGTTCTTAACTTTAATATTATGTTGTCACATGCTAGTACTATATAGTATATATATATATACTAGTTGCGGATAACGTTTTAAAGTTTCGTACTTGATTTTATATTTATGTGAACAACGATCGTTAGCTATGGAAATAATATAAGTATAGGAAAGATGAAACTATATAAGGACACATAGAGACGGATGTTAATTAAACCTGGTAGATACCGCATATATTATATGCCCTTTTAGAATCAAATGTATTTGGGGGAAATATTATTTCATTCGATTTCCTACTCTCATAATATTATATGATAGAGTGGGGTAACGACTGACACGTACACATGTACCTGATTCACGGACGCTCTTCTTCAGTTCTACCTCAAAGGAACCTCTCGAGGAAATTAGACCACCACAGTTTTTCGATTCAAGCTATAAACGTTTTTATAAATGGATATTTAAATTCCGTATGTTTCCGTAAGAATATACATTTATATTATTATCACGTATGTATGTAGTAAACATTTTAAAGGCATATAATAATATACCTTAAAACTTATAATGGAAATGCTAAGCATAAAAAAACATGCCTGGCTCCTCTTGATTTGGTTCTTGATATGCCGAGATATCTGTCTGTCGTCAGGTGATTTGTCAATTGAGCAAATAATACAGGTATCGACTTTTGCACTTGACTGGGCTTAATGAACATCGTACGGATGAGTTGTTGGCGTGTCTTTGGGTATTTGTGGTATGCCTACAATCAGTTTGACATATACAAATATACACTGTATATCTTTTGTTTTAATTAATAATTGAAAAATAATAGATAGAGAGAGATAAAGAAAATATACATATGGTCACAGGTACCTTATTTTGAATGATAAAAGCGTAACGTAAACTCAACGAATGAGCGATGTGCGGTATTGTTGTGGTAGGGGAGCCCAAGAGGGGATTTCGGGATTTACTAAAGCGCGGCAGATTAATATACAGGGGGATAGCTTGTACTCGGTTAAGTACCTCCACAAAACATGAGGTCCATATATAAGGCCGCCTGTGAAGGAGACAGGATCAGATTAGTAAAAAAAAATTGACCATCAGAAATTCCCGAGCGCATCAGATTAAGGTAGGGTGAGTTAATTACATCCTAAAAAGTGTATATTCCACTAATCTGACAATTTGAGAGTGACGGAAAAAAGGGGAGGGCAACAAAGTTGTAAAAAAAAACGTCATCTCGACATTCTCGAGCGTAGCTAATTTTTTTTTATTTTGAAGGAAATAATTCAAGAATAATGAAAAATATATAATCTGACGATTTCCGCAAGCCGAAATAACAAAAATTCGTCGATAAAGTTAAATGCGTGCAGCTGCGTGATGCCTACATTTCCTTAAACCGATCGGAATCTACTAAACGGCGTTCTAAATATTTCCCTCAAAATTACATTTCCTGTGAATTTGAACCGATTCGGACCGATAGATTTTGAGAAATTTTGAAAAATCTTAAAAAAATAAGAAATATTTTTTTTAAAGTGGTTTCTTTATCGATCAACTTCAAAAACTAATCCACCTTTGAGCTTGAAAAACCACGTTGATCGCCACTAAGCTGGTCAAAAGCGGTTGATTCGTTCGAGAGATATCGTGAACGAAAGAAACCCGAAAAAGTGTTTATTCGGGATTACTCCGAAATTTGTGGTTCGATCAATTAAAATTGCAAAATTACTTATGAGAATGATAAAACTGCGTCGAATGCCGCCAACCGCGTGAAAATTGCTTGATCCATTCAAAAGTTATTGCGGTTTGAAAATTCCAAAAATAGTGTTCTATGAAACTTCTATCAGACTTTCGAGCTGGGAGAGCTCAAATGCATAGAAATGTTATTTCTTTGAACTCAGCGAGCTCAAAATATCAATTTTAAGCGCCCAGGAATGGAATTAGCGGGAAGTTGCAGGGATGGCCCTTTAGGTGAACCGTTTTTCTATTTTTTTTTGTCAGATCAGGCGAATCCCTCTAGATAATCGTCAGATTATGAGACAGTACGTTTAGAACATAAAGATGAACCACATATATCTTAATCTGACGCGCTTGAGTATTTCAAAATTGCGATTTTTTTTTGCAAATTAAGAAAATGGCTGTGGGTTTGCGTCCCATCGAAATCGTCAGATTAGTGAATGAGAGATTTTTTTTGGTGCACTTAACACTCCCTTAGAAAATCTGACGCGCTCGATAAATTTTTTTTTTTTAATTTTCAACCCTTAAATACAACCACCCGCATCATGCAAACGATCAGATTAACATACGTACATTATTAAAAATACGTAGGGCATAGATGCTATCAATATCTGACGCGCTCGAGGATGTCCATGCAACAGTTTTTTTTTACATATTTAACTATCTATAGCCGCTTCCCCCACCGATGAAAAGGAATTTATCATATAACATTTTTTTCTTCTTATTATCTAAGCTTTGCATCCCAATAGGTCTCTACGACGCTCGAGTAAATCCCCATTTAGCATCGTGGGCTCCCCTACCATTGCAACGCAATGCCCTGACAGGATGCAGCCGCCCTCCGTAGGGCTTACAATTTATTCAGAAACTTCTATTGCATCGATTACTTTAAATATAATTTAATCAAATAAATTGAGATGGTATTATTTAAGTAAGTGAAAGACAATAATTAAAATAGGTGTGGTAGATAATATCATAGAGTATCAGCTGTAGTCTACACAAAATGTATCCAGTGCAGTATAATAATACCGACGTGGGACCGGCCCTATTGCCAAAGTAGTCCTCGGCACCGTCTTTGTTTATCACTGCAAGAGCCAAAAGCATCTCAGAACGTCTTAAACTAATAAATCGTTGAGTATGTTTATTTTTATTTGCATTATTATTCATCTGATCAGATGAATTATTACTCCTTGTATAGTACTGTAACCAGATTATGTACGGATTGAATGAAAATAATACATGAACATCCTAGTTGCGTTTATACAAATTAATTGGTTATAATAAATGTTAGAAACAAAATTTTCAAAAGCGAGTTTTTTTTAATCTCATCCCACACACACGAAGACAGAATGTATTTTTTACCTATTCTAATATTGGCAGAAGAATATCATAATAGAGAGTAGAGGCGCCCGGGGCACTGAATTGATAATAAGGGGTTTACAGAGGACTCAGATGGAATAGACAAGGCGGGTAAGACCTGGCTGAAAATTTGTTGAGTTCAAGCTCTGAATTTGTTCAGGCACAGTCAGTTTTAAGCCATTCTTATTTAAAGAACGTTATTGATATAAATTCCAAAATTACAATGAAGTTAGCTGTGATTATTGTTCATACGTAAATCTATGGCCTATATACAATATAATAATTTATAATTAGGGCCTGTACACGCCGCAGGTGGCGGGACCCGCCGAACCTCCTATTCCGCGTTTACCTGCGTTTTCTAGGCACATCTGATCACCAGCTGCTTTCGATTCCAATGCCTCTTGTCTACAATAATTTGCTTGCAGCCAATATTGTGTGCTAGTTAGTCGGATTAAAAAGTCGTGGTCCAAGGGCTTAGCAAAAATAATTTTTTTTTAAGGAATCTAATTACACGCAAAAAAATTTAATTCCCCTTCGTTCATTCCATCATAGTCCTGGAAATTACTGAAAATGGATTTCCTGAAAATTGTATAAGGTTCTCTGACTCTGAGCTTACTCTGAAACTGCTTGAAAAACCAATAAAGAGTCTGATATCATATTTTAAATTATATATCTAAATTCTACTAGCCGAGCCGGCCAAGCGTTGCTGTGGCTAAGGTTTTTGTTATATGACATAGTAGTAAACTATTAAACTATTTAATGCTTTTTTGGTGATTATGCCATAAAATTGTAGCTTATGTGAAACGTTGGTACTTTCAACACAGCGCCATCTGTTAAAATTGTGACTGTCAAATAATAAACAAAATATAATATGCAATAAAATAATATGGCTGGTATAAATTAAGATGTAAGCCATTCTATCTTTAAAGTTAGATCAAACTGCACACGGTGTGCAAATTTGATTGTAATCGGTTAAGTAGTTTAGGAGTCCATAGCGGACAACCAACGTGATGTGTAATATATATATATATTAAGATATACAAGAATAAAAACGAGACAACACATTCAAGCCTTCGTAAGAATATAAACACAATTTGAACTAAACAATAATATATCGGCTTATTGCAGGAAAACTGGACAGACAGGCGGTCCTCAATTCACTTAAAAATAAAGTTGAATTAATTTGGTGGTTTATTTCATAACAAAAATTAAATATAAACAACTATTTAAAGCAAACGGGTGGCCACGCT